TTTTGGGGTCAAGGGGTCAAAGGTCAAGGTCTCATTGACATTGTAAGTAAAAACCGTTTCCAATCAATAACTAAAGAATGCTCAGGCCTAGGAATTTCAAACTTGGTATGATGATTTGTCATGACCCCTTTTGATTTTGGGGTAAAGGGTTCAAAGGTCAAGTTTACATTGACCTTGTAAGTAAAAACGGTTTCCGATTAATAAGTAAAGAAGGCTTAGGCCTAGGAACTTCAAACTTGGTATCATGATTGGTCATGACCAGCAGATGACCCCTATGGATTATGGGTCAAGAGGTCAAAGGCCAAGGTCACATTGACCTTGTAAGTAAAAAAGGTTTCCGATCAATAACTAAAGAACACTTAGGCCTAGGAACTTCAAACTTGATATGATGATTGGTCATGACCAGCAGGTGACCTCTATTGATTTGGGGTCCAGGGTTCAAAGGTCACATTGATCTTGTAAGTAAAAACGGTTTCTGATCAATAACTAAAGAACGCTTAGGCCTAGGGACTTCAAACTTGTTATGATGATTGGTCATGACCAGCAGATGACCCCTATTGATTTTGGGGTCACAGGTCAAGGTCACATTGACTTGAAGTTAAAAACAGTTTCCACTCAATACCTAAAGGACGCTTAGGCCTAGGAACTTCAAACTTGGTATGGTGATTGTTCATGACCAGCAGATTAACCAGATTGATTTTGGGGTCAAGGGGTTGAAGGTCAAGGTCACATTGACCATGTTGGTAAAAACAGTTTCCACACAATAACTAAAGAAGGCTTAGGCCTAGGAACTTCAAACTTGATATGATGTTTGGTCATGACCAGTAGATGATCCTAATTGATTTTGAGGTCAAGGGGTCAGTGTCATATTGACCTTGTACTTAAAGATGGTTTCTGACCAATAACTCAACAACTCAAGTTGCCTTGGTTGATATTTTTATATTAAACTAAAAATGCTTTTGGTATACACATTTCAAGGTCTTATGTAATATAACAACTTGGCTGTCATTAATGAGGCCTACATGATTCATAAAATTTATGCATATATTATTTGGTAAGATTTGTAATAACTTAAATTGCTGCACACAACCTATGGGGTCACAATAATTATTATCTTGTGACTAGTCATAACCAGTAGATAACCCTTATTAATTTTTTGTTCACTGGGTCAGAAGTCATGCATAATAACCTGCTTACATGACTAATTGGCTGCCGATAGGGGGCATACATGTTTTACAAACATATCTTGTTCATTTTTAGCTCGACTATACGAAGTATATGGAGAGCTGTCCTACTCGCCCCGGCGTCCGCGTCCGCGTCCAGATTTTAGATTAAAGTTTTGGTGCAGTAAAATATTTTTCACTATAACTTTGTCATTTCTTAAGGTATCAACTTCAAACTTCAAATATATGTTCCTTATCATCAACCACATCTTATGTGACAAGGTTCATAACTCTAGCACCAATATTTTCAGATTTATCTCCCCTTGAACTTAGAATTTTCCTTAAAAAATACTATTTTTTACTGTTACTTCTTTATTTCATAAGGGATCAACCTCATACTTCAAATGTATGTACCTTATCATCATCCCCATCTTATGTGACAAGGTTCATAACTCTAGCACCAATATTTTCAGATTTATCTCCCCTTGAACTTAGAATTTTCTTAAAAAAATGCTATTTCTTACTGTTTCTTCTTTATTTCTTAAGGGATCAACCTCATACTTCAAATATATTTACGTTATCATCCTCCCCATCTTATGTGGCAAGGTTCATAACTCTAGCACCAATATTTTCAGATTTATCTCCCTTTGAACTTAGAATTTTCCATAAAAAATATTATATTTTTTACTGTTACTTATTTATTTCTAAAGGGATCAACTTCATACTTCAAATATATTTACGTTATCATCATCCACATCTTATGTGACAAGGTTCATAACTCTAGCACCAATATTGCAAGAATTATCTCCCCATAAACTTAGATTTTTTTACTAGAAAAATGTTATTTTTTATTATAACTTTTTTATTTTTAAAGGTATCTACCTCAAACTTCAAATACTTATTCCTAATCATCAAATACATTTTATGTGACAATGTTCATAACTCTTGAAGCAATATTTACAGATTTATCTCTCTTTGAACTAATGATTTTCTTTAAGAAATATAATAACTTCTTTACTTTTTAAGGTATCTACTTCAAACTTCAAATATATATTTCTTATCATTACCCAAATGTGTGACAAGGTCCATAACTCTAGCATGACTATTTCTAGAATTATTCCCCTTGATCTTGGAATTAATGTTAACAAATGTTATTTTTTTACTATAACTTAATACATAATTATACATAATTGATTTTTCTTTCATAGTTTTGTCCTCCTTACTGCGTCCAGTATTTTATTAGTCGAGCTTTGCTGTCTCCTGTGACAGCTCTTGTTACACTTTGAACTTTGTCCGGGACATAACTAAAACTATAAGAGATATCAACATGAAACTTTGTTGGTAGATAGATCTCATTGTGTAGAAGTACAGTGCAAAAAACCATAACTCTGTCTTGCCTAATTTTGGAGTTATTGCCCTTTGTTCATTTTTACACTTTGAGCTTTGTCTGGGATATAACTCTAAAACTATAAGAGATATCAACATGAAACTTTGTAGGTAAATAGATTTCATTGAGTAGAAGTGCAGTGTGAAGGAACTATAACTCTGTCTTGCCTAATTTTTGAGTTATTGCCCTTTGTTCATTTTTATACTATGAACTTTGTCCAGGACATAACTCTAAAGCTATAGGAGATATCAACATGACACTTTGTTGGTAGATAGATCCCTTTGAGTAGAAGCACTGTGCAAAAAAGCCATAACACTGTCTTGCCTAATTTTGGAGTTATTGCCCTTTGTTCATTTTTACACTTCGAACTTTGTCCGGGACATAAATCTGAAACCATTAGAAGTATCAAAATGAAACTTTGTAGGTAGATTGATCTCGTTAAATAGAAGTGCAGTGCAAAAGTACCATAACTCTGCCTTGCCTAATTTTTGAGTTATTGCCCTTTTTTATCATTGATTGAGCTTGTGCACTACATTTGGCAAAGCACTTTTATTACTGATGGACCTTCTACAGTACTTATCACTGTTTGACTTTATGCACTACAATTTGCAAAGCTCTTTATTGATGTATCCCGAAATTTTTATCAGTAAAGACCTGTTGCTATTGATTGATGGCAAGTACAGTTGGTTAAAGATATATGCTGTCATTTAAGATCTGATTTGATATTCTTGGCAATTTAGCTCAGTCATTTTAGATTAACCATACAATCTAGCTATTTTTCATAATTTTGTTTATAGCAATATTTTTCAATAAATTTAGTAAGAAAATAGTAGAACCATGGTTTGTTTTAATAAAAAATACTAAGAAATTGATAATGCAAGATTAAACAATAATTTTTGTTATAAAAATATATTATCAGCTTACTGGACAAGAAACTTTAGAAAAAAAATCATTATTATGGAATTTGCATTTAGTCCAGAATCTGATGAGACATTTTATTTCAGAATAGAATTTATATCTATATAAATACTTATGCTTGTGATTTTGTGTGAATGTAATAAAAATATTAGACAGAAGTGTTCATCTGATAACTCATAACCTGACACATGATGTTAGATGATATTGAAGATACTAAAAATATTCTTGCAAAGTTCTCCAACCCCCTTTTTTTATGTAGATTTCTTTACTTTGATAAGTAATGAAGTATTCACCATGGACATTGAATTCTTGTTTACTATCATTCAAAAGGGCAGGCAACTGTGTAATTCATACATTTTGTCTGTGAATTATACCCCATTTTCAATTTAATCTGTTTCAGCTAAAGTACTATTTTTCTGAAAACCCAACAAAGATGTTCATCCTTATTATTATGTAAACAATGTTACATGGAATACTTGTTTATTTTATTTACATTGGAATGCATACATGTATGACAAGAGGACATATTATAATTTATTATATAAAATTAACCCTGTCAGTTAGACTAATTTTTATTTAATTATTTCCCTTTTTGAACTTTGGATATTTTCCTAATTTCCTTAAAATCTGACCACAGATATCAGTAAATTACTTTGAACTCGAAATATTTGTGATGATAAGTCTTCCAACTATCTTTCCATAATTATGCTTTCTTTCTTTTACCTGACTATCGTAAAATAATGAAGTAGTTCTAATAGATTCTATATTGTTTTTTTCTTTTTTCTTGCTTTTTTTTTTGGTGGGGGGAGGCATGACATAAAAAAATATTTTCAATTGTTTTCAAGGTGGGGTGGGGGGAATCTGAAAAGATAAGTTTAAATAATATGTCCATTTTTTGTTGCTTTCCGCAAGGGAGTTTACTCTTAAGGTCATATTTTGTAAGTGGTAGTTAAATAAATTAAACTAAAAGTTAAAAACCAACCAGGACCATGAGCTACAATTTGATTTGGGGTGGATACAGTATGTACTTATGTACTATCATTATTGACATAATGATTTTTATTTTTTTATACAATTTTCCTTTTTAATTTTTACTGTAGCATGTTTAATATGTCATATTTAAACTCAAAAAGGAAGTATATTTAAAACCTTAAAAAGGAAGTAATTTGTATTGAAAGAAATACTATGATATTATCTGACTATCACTGATTAAAACATTATTATCCAAAGATCAATTTTATGTTATGTTTACATTGTACATCCATAAATGATATTATAAACAATTTTTCTTTCAATTGTGACATTTGTCAACCATTTATTGATATAAGGGAATAAAAGACAATTTTTACCACAACTGACTTATTTAAAAGACTGTATATTTGAAATATGATCTATTAAGTATTTATGTCATACGATATAATGAGGTAGATCTATTTTTAGTAACGTATATTTTTTAGGGGATTTTTGTAAAATAACCTGGAAGTTTTGCATATAATGACAATTGTTTAACAGATATCTACTAGTATATATACTAGTAGATATCTGTTAAACAATTGTCATTATTGTTTCATCAATACAAAGAAAAGGTGATTAGCATTTTGTAAAAAACTGTCTTCATTTTTCTGTTTACAAGTGATTAAAAATACATGTAAGTCTTTTCAAACTATTAATATTTAAAGTATTTTATTTCAATTATATTCCTTTCTTAGTTGTATGATTTTGAGTATAGCCTGTTTTATTTACTTTGACATCTTTAATTTGATCTTCATTTTGAAAGTTAAAATTGTATTATATAAATTAATATATAAAAATCATAATGTCCACTGTAAAGTTTCTATTGGATGTTGCCTGAAATTGGTATTTTATTATCATTTAAGTTGTCAGATCAGTAAATTCTTCTGATAAAATATTTTTTTACTATTATTTCTTTTAAGTATCATTTGAGTGGTTGTCCTGTCCGTGCTCTGCCTTGCACCCTGTCCTGTTTTTGTTTGGGGTCCTCCTGGGCTCCTTGCCTCTGGTTCTTGTTGCTGGGTTATGTGATTGTTGCGTTCATTGAACGTCACCTTTTCTGGTTGATCTTAATCATTCCTATCATATTTTTTGCTACATACAGGGCTAAACCGGGGGGCTATTATTACAACACAGTTTTTCCTAAATCCAAAAATCATTGTAAATACATTTAGCGATAGCTAGTGTTGGTAATAACATTAAAAAGGTATTAAAGTTTATATGATACATTTTTAGCTCACCTGTCACAAAGTAACAGGGTGAGCTTTTGTGATCGCTTTTCTTCCGGCATCCGTCCGTCCGTCCGTCCGTCGTCCGTCCATAAACTTTTGCTTTAAATGACATCTCCTCATAAACCACTAAGCCAATTTCATCCAAACTTCACAGGAATGTTCCTTTGGTGGTCACCTTAAAAATTGTTCAAAGAATTTAATTCCATGCAGAACTCTGGTTGCCATGGCAACCAAAAGAAAAAACTTTAAACCTCTTCTTCTAAAAAACCCAAAGAGCTAGAGCTTAGATATTTGGCATGAAACATCTTCTAGTAAGTGTCTACCAAGTTTGTTCAAAGAAAAGCCCTGGGGTCAAAATTGGCCCCGCCCCAGGGGGTCATTGATTTTCCCTATATGCATATAGTAAAAACTTAAAAAAGCTTCTTTTAAAGAATCCAAAGAGCTAGAGCTAAGATATTTAGCATGAAACATCTTCCTATGTGTGTCTACAAAGTTTGTTCAAATAAAAGCCCTGGGGTCAAAATTGGCCCCGCCCCAGGGGGTCATTGATTTTCCCTATATGCATATAGTAAAAACATAAAAAATCTTTTTTTAAAGAACCCAAAGTGCTAGAGCTAAGATATTTAGCATGAAACATGTTCAAATGGATTTCTACCAAGTTTGTTCAAATAAAAGCCCCAAAAGAACCCAAAGTGCTAGAGCTAAGATATTTAGCATGAAACATGTTCTAATGGATGTCTACCAAGTTTGTTCAAATAAAAACCCTGGGGTCAAAATTGGCCCCGCCCCAGGGGGTCATTGATTTTCCCTATATGCATATAGTAAAAACTTAAAAAATCTTCTTCTAAAAAACCCAAAGAGCTAGAGCTTAGATATTTGGCATGAAACATGTTCTAATGGATGTCTACCAAGTTTGTTCAAATAAAAGCCCTGGGGTCAAATTGGCCCCGCCCCAGGGGGTCTTTGATTTTACCTATAGGCATAATTAGTAAAAACTTAAAAAAAATTATTTTAAAGAACCCAAAGAGCTAGAGCTAAGATATTTACCATGAAACATTTTCTTATGGGTGTCTACCAAGTTTGTTCAAATAAAAGCCCTAGGGTCAAAATTGGCCCCGCCCCAGGGGGTCATTGATTATCCCTATATACATATAGTAAAAACTTAAAAAATCTTCTGTTAAAGAACCCAAAGAGCTAGAGCTAAGATATTTAGCATGAAACATGTTCTAATGAATTTCTACCAAGTTTGTTCAAATAAGAGCCCTGGGGTCAAAATTGGTCCCGCCCCGGGGGTCATTGATTTTCCTTATATGTGTATAGAAAAAACTTAAAAAATCTTCTTTGAAAAAAACCAAATAGCTAGAGTTTAGATACTAAGCATGAAACATCTTCTAGTGATTGTCTACCAAGTTTGTTCAAATAAAAGCCCTAGGGTCAAAATTGGCCCCACCCCGGCTGACATTGATTTTCCTTATATGTGTATAGCAAAAAATTAAAAGTCTCCTTTGAAAAAACCCTAATAGCTAGAGTTTAGATATTAAGCATGAAACATTTTCTAGTAAGTGTCTACAAAGATTGTTCAAATCAAAGCCCTTGGGTCAAAACTGGCCCTGCCCCAGGTGTGTCATTATTTTTAACTATATGTGTAAAGAAAAAAACTTGACCAGCTAGACCTTGGATGTTAAGCATGAAATATCTTCTAATGGGTGTCTACCAAGTTAGTTTAAATAAAAGCGCTGGGGTTAAAACTGGCCCCGCTCGATGGGCCTATATACAGGTGAGCGACTTCAGGGCCATCATGGCCCTCTTGTTGTGTTTACTATAAAATAGAATGGATTCTGAAGGATTTGAATAAAATTATGGATTTACTCATAAGTTCAGCACTGATGAGTAGATTTTTCCATATCAAAAAGCCTGGAGTGGGGCGGGGGGGAGGAGACTATAAAGGGAGAGGCATTTAATAGGAATTTTACGGTACATGTCAATTGAACATTATATTTATATATTTTGGAGATTCTTAAATATAAAAACACCAAACTTGAGCAATCAACAGTATACATTATAGATTCAGGTCTACTATATATTATAAGCAATTATAGGTTACAATAATTTAAAGCAGCATGCCTCCAGTTTTAATTATGCTAATTTTCATGAAAATTTTGAAAATTAGTTTAAAAGTAAAATATTATTAAGTGAACAAAGAAAGTAATTTTCAGTTACAATCCTCTTTAATAATGCCAAAAGAGTTTAAAATATGTAAAATTAGCCCCTACTGTGTTAGTCACACAGTAAAATAAATGGTGGTAAATACTGAAAAATCAGTTATTTCATCACACATAATATGTAAATTATTACTTGAATCTTAAATCTTTTTACTTTTTTCAAAATCTAAGTATATTTTTCTCAAATTTAATTGTTTTGAAATATTTTAGCTCATCTGGAGGCTGCGATGATGGCGCAGCTTTAAATGCAGTTTAGTTTCAATTTACTGATAAATTTAATTTCTAATCTTATTTCTTGGCTCATTTTAGCCTTTTGTATTTATTTATATGATACTTACATAAATTTCTTTTTTTATCATACTTAATTATTACTGTATTATATTTTTGTAAGACCACTACATTTAACCACAACAAATGTTTTACAAATTGCCTCTTATAAAAACTGTCAATAGTTTTTTTAGTACATTTGATTAAGTCTTATTTTTTTATTGAAAGCAATATGATTTCCTTCCTTGTTGATCATTAACCATTATGTTCTAGTGTAGCATTGTTTATTTCACAATAAAGAAAGGGACGCAGTTTCTAATTTTAACTGTTAGAAAACCAATACTGAGTAAGTAATTTTCCAAACATGGCATTGGCCATATATAGCCAGCAGGTCCTTTAAATATTTAGTCTATTTTTTCCAGTTTATTTGTAAAGGGAAATCCAAATCATAATGTAGGTGACACAAATACATTGGCATGCTGGATCTGAACTTTATTTTAAGATTGTGTTTGTATTGAAATTAAATGACACAATACATGTATTTGTTATTTTTTTAGTTTTTAAAACTTCCTGGTTTGTGCTGAGAGTGTCAAATTTAGTACATTACAAGTACTATTGTTCAGATATAATAGCAATCCTGTGAGTCAGTGGTGAGCTTAAAAAAATAATTAAGAAAAAAATTTAAATTTCCTTTTTTTTTGCAGAGTATATTTACCTGTCGGATTGCTGTTTTCGTACAGTTTAAGTTTTAAAAAAGCCAACTACACAAGGTTAGTCAATTACCTTATTTGTACTGTCAAATTTTGTTAAAAATATAATAGAATTTGTTTTGAAATAAAGTAGAAATTATCTATTTCAGTAGCGTTGTGTACTTCATTAGAATATACATTCCATCCATGGGCATGCTTTTTGCATTTCTATTTAGAAAAACTTCTAGTTTAATAATTTCTGTCAACAGTAGGGCTTTAAATTTTGTAAAGTTTCATATTTAATGCCGGAAATGTTAATACATTTGTATCTAGATTTAATTTGGTCATGTTAGTGTGCAGATAAAAGTGAATATGACTATGACCTAGAGACCTACTTTTGCATTTTTTCAAATACTATGTAGCCTTCATTTAAGACCGCATTAGAGTTATGCATCTAAAATAACCTATGGTTGCTCTCAGTATGTCAACCAGTGGTTTTTAACTTTAAGAGTACAACTTTGTGAAATTTAAACTATTTGTTTGTAATAATGTAAGAGCAATAAAAATTTCAATATCATAGATAACCATGAATATGACCCACCGACCTATTTCTGCGTCATTGTAATAATATGACAATGTCTATATGAAAAGTTTTTACTTGCCTCAAATTGTCATAGTAAGTCCTTTGATGTAAAATTGCTTTCTTTGGTTGATAATTTACAATGAAAACTGGTAATGTTCAGTATTTATTTGTAAATCATTTTAAATTTCTGTATTTTTTGTTTCCATTGTCTAGGAAGAGTAAAAAACCAAACAAGTGAAGTAGCTCATTGTTATCCTCTCAAATCAAATATTTGATAAGTTGTGTTGTTGTTTTTTCAGCTCCGCTTTGTTTGATCATCTTTAAAAATCCGCAATATGAATGCACAAGGACAGAGAAATGTTGAAAAAGATGGTTCTGTCAACAAAGATCCAAATACCCCAAAAAAAAGCAAAAAGAAATAAAGTTGCTTTTAAAAACTCCCTTTTC